TTTCAATTCAAGCCCTTGTCCTGGACTTTTGACCTGAGTCTCGGCTCTAACTCGGGGTTCAGTCTCTATCTTTATCCAACCGTGTCTTGAACACAACTCCTGGCGCTAATTTGAGAACTAACTCGGGAGTCGACACAGAATCCATAGCTAACTTTTATATGACTATTGACCCCGACTCCTAATCCCAATTTGAGGACCTCACCACAATCCTAGTCTAGAACTCAACCTGAGACATAGCCAAATTCAAGATAGGACCCGAGATTCAACCTTGGGGTCCCAACTTAAGTCCTAACTTGGGACCCAACCATAACCCTGGGACCAAACTTGAGAATTGATCTTGACTTGGGATCTGACTTGAATCTATATCTCCTTGGGACCCTACTCACCGACACGAGATCTTGACCTAGGAGCCAACTCCTGATGAATCGGGGTCGGTTTCTTGGTTGGGGTTTTGGTAAAACTTCGATTACAAATATAATGTAGATAAATAATACTTTCTCTATTTATAAAAGAATGGCCTCATTTCCTTTTTAGTCTGTTTAGTAAAGAATGACCCCTTTCCTTTTTGGGTAACACTATAACTTAAACTTTCCACGTGACATGTTTAAGACCACGAGATTAAAGGGCAATTTAGTACATTTGACATAACTTTAATTTAGAACCACAAGATTTAGAAGTCTTCTTTCTTTCTTAAACTCTGCTCCAAGTCAAACTAGGACATTTTTTTTGAAACTGAGGGAGTAATCGATTTATCACATCACTAAAGTACTATCTAATATTGTAGTCTGGTTAAATTGTCACGCCCCGAGCGAACATTCTGGGCGGGATTAACACTCGAGAACCATTGTTGGGTCCAAGCGAACTCTTATCCTGTCTAGACTCTGAAATGCAACTTTACTCCACTGTCTCAAAATAACTTAGAATGTTTTAAAATTAAACATCTAACTAGCCAAAGTGGCAGCTCAAGTCTTATAACAAAACAACTGAAATGCAAAGACTAAAGAACTATATTTGTCAATCTATAAAGCCTCTAATACTATGAGGGATGTTGAGACAAGACCCCGATCACCCTAACAACTGAAACGACAAAGCAATAATAAAGGGATCCTCCGAAAAGAAAGGAGGTTCACTAAATGACTCTGAAATACTCAACTAGATCAATGAAATGTTGACTGCTGATCCTGGTTACATGTATGTGCATCATAAGCGATGCAGATCAACTGGCGTCAATACATTGAATGTAAGAACATGCGAGGAGAAGCTAAACATGACATAAGATTGAACTGAATTATGAAAAAAACACTTACCTCAACTTTACTCATCACGGGCACTCAACTATATGCACAATTAAAAAACAATAAAGATGTCGTTTATATAAAGCATTTAAATAGTAGATAATATCCTAAATCAGTGGAAAATAACATAATATCGCAATTGTATATGAGAATACAAAAATAAATTATTTTTCAGAGATTCTCTAACAGACAACCATCACTATGAGTTATGTGACGATACAATGTCTCGCCCACGCTGTCAGAACTGTCCTATAACTTGTCGGGATATAGAACGCCTCAATTAAGTGGATCCACTAATCTATGCTTAAAAGCATTAAGGAATCATCTAAAAAGTATGATTGTTTCTACCCACGTCGGCTACATGGTTTTTGGACACTTGTGTTAATATGAACTCGTCCCCGTATCGGTGTTCAATACTACTTCCAAAATATACTCACCTTATATGTTTACAAACATAACTCTTCCTCCGTGGTTTGAAATTATTATTCAAAAACTAGCTCAAAAGCTCTCTTGAAAATCGGTGTTTCCTCTCTTGTTTAAATGTGAAAATATTTACTCTTTGAGATACTTAGTTTCCATATAATCTTTTAAAGAAAATGAACTTCTCTCCTACTCTTATTCAATTCAATGCTCTAGTCTTAAAACAATTGTAAAAAACATTTTTAAATGACTTTTGAAATGACTCTACGAACTTCTTAAACTTGACTCTTAACTTTCCTTGAATTTGAATTTATGAATTCAAGATTATAATTCAGATTTATGGAATTTTCTTAGATGTTTAGAAGTCATTTAGAATTGTTAGAATTGATAGGAAGTGTTAGTAAACTTCAGAAGGATACAGACGGGCTAAACAACAAAGTATAGGTGGGGGCAGACGTCTTGAGCACGCTGCTGGAGCATCCACTGCTGGCGCACCATCCTAGACCTTATGTGTAATGACCTGTTTAGTCGTTTTGAGCAGCAGATTTTATTTCTGGAAAAACAGGCTGAGACGACGGAACCCACGACGGACCGTCATGAGCACGACGGAGCGTCGAGGGGTCTCGTTTCAAAACACTTAGAAATTCTGAAATTGGGTACTGAAAATCGACTCTCTGAACTTCGTAACGGAATGGCAGGACGGACCGTCACGGGCGTGACGGACCGTCACAGACTCTTTGGTGGAAATTGAGTCTCTGAACCTTGCTACGACCTGCAGGACGGACCGTCGCAGGCACGACGGGCCGTCACAGGTTGCGTAATCCCAGTCTGGGTCGGATTTCTTTACACGTTTTAAGGGACGTTTTGGACTATTCCTACTTTAATTATAAAGTTAGTGGGTTTATGTTAATAAGTCTAAATACTTGGGGGTTAAAAGAGGTAACCTTGAGTAAATTAGTGGGTTATTATTGCCATCTTTTATTCTTAATTATATGCTAATTAGGATAAAAGAAAGAGGGTTTGAATATGAAAAAGAAAAGAACAGAAAGAGAGAGAAGGAGAATCGATAGAGAGAGACGAACGAAGAGGAAAAACACAAGGCTTTGGGAAATTCTTGCTTGATCACTAGTCTTCGGTGAAGGTAGGTCATGGTTTCTCTTACGATATTCGTAGTAAACTCTTAATAGCGAATGATATGTATTGATAACATTGTAAACCCTGCTATGTGCTTAATTGTATGCTTGTATGAATATGATTACATAATGGTGATAAAGTAAGCATGATGAAGCTATTGAATCTTAATCTTGAAAGAAACCCTAATCTACCTTGATAATGAGATTGATGATGCATTGGTATAAAAGAAGGCTTGATGAACTAAAGTGATGAGATTAGTGGATCGGGTGTCATGAACTGACACGTAGAATTAGGGGGAGTGGAGTGTCACGTACCGACACAAGAGAAATAAAGATAATGAATCTTGAAAGATGTTAATATACTCAATCTAATGAACATAATTCCCAAATGAGTATGGTATTGAGGCTTGAGTACTCATGTGTGAACTTGACGGTAATTGATTATGACATAGTACTTGCTGTTGCTACATGTTGAGTATCATAGTTGATTTTATGATGTTATCTGATATATACTGTTTTCTATTTTGAGTTGGCCGATGATATCTACTCAGTACCCGTGTTTTGTACTGACCCCTACTTTTATGTTTTCTTCTTGTTTAATTGTGGAGTGCAGCAAATGTGCCGTCATCTTCGACTCAACAGTAACTCTAGCCAGTCTTCATTACTCCGGATATCAGGGTGAGCTAATGCTTCTAGCTTGGACTGGATCTTCCTCTTCATGTCTTGATGCCTAGAAGTTCCGGCATGGACTAGCTTTTATGTATTTTTAGCTTCTTAGAAACTCTTAGATTTAGTAATTTGAAGTAGATGTTCTTGTGATGATGACTTCAAGATTTTGGGGATAAAAATAGTTATTGATTTTATTAATGAGTTTAAGTCTTCCGCATTACTTTCGGTTGATATTATATTGAAATGTTAAGGTTTAGATTGGTTGGTTCGCTCACATAGGAGGGTAAGTGTGGGTGCCAGTCGCGGTCCGATTTGGGTCGTGACATTATGGTGCGTCGCCCTATTCAATATATGTACCCAAAAATCTAATTTAAAACAACTTTTAAAATCGATAAGACTATCTCAATAAACTCATCAATCCAAACCAAATTCAAGACTGAAGGCAATTTCAAGAACACAACTCAAGAACATCAAATCTTAGGAAGAAAATACGCTGAATAAATTAACATGATTGGCGCATGGGTCAACGTACCCAACAGTATGTGAACTCAAATACCTCTTAGGGATCAACCCTTGACTAAATCTGCACGAAACCTTCAAGAACTTGACGAAATCTTGACCTTTTCTTTTCCTTTCCTTTATTCTTTTGAGTTCTTTTCATTTAGTGTGAAATTTGAGTGCGTAAATTGAACCAATTCAGTTTATACCCCTAATTAATTACTGAAAAAGAAATAAGTTAATTGGCTAAGAAAAAGACCAAAATATCCCTCTTAAATTCGAGTAACTTTTCTTAAATTGACAGTCCAACTTCAAACGGGCATATAGCCCTCATACAAGTTCGAAAATTAGCTAACTCGGTGGTGTTGGAATGAAGATTTCAAGACCTTTCATTTGATATCTTATAAGCCACCTAACTCATCATGTACTGAAAGTTATGATCGTTCAAAATTAATCCAAAACTCTTACTTAACATAACTTTGCCAAATTTCAAATTTTTGTTCTTTCCATAAATGATTCTTTCTAATTCTGTCTCTTTCAAATAGCGGGGTGTTACAAAAGTAAAAGTATCATTAACTCATAAAAATACGGATCAATTCTTCTTTTATCCAACCTATTATGTCACACAACTCACTTTTACCGAATATAGAATATGAGCATACCAATCTATCAGATTATTATCTATTTTATGTTAATCCGTTCATATTTGATCCAACTCATCTATTTGTCATCATTATTAACACCAATAAAATAGTAAAGATAACCGAAGTAAAAGTCGGATATGCCTTCACTCGAGCCTCAAAAAAAGCAGAGGTTTTATTTTTCTCCTATCAGCTGCCTGAAATTCCAGCAGTGTAATTAAAGCTTGACATAGTAGTGTGCTGGTGTTGATAATTACTACTCATTTGGAATTTATACTATCATTTATTTTACATAGCAAGTGTAGCTAACTCTCTTGTCACACTACTAATTATTTTTAACATTTGTTTGCCTATATATACCATCTCTCATTTCCACAAAAAGAAAAACACAAATAACAAACTTTCTTGATTTGAGATAATAATTATTGTTATTCTAGACATAAAATGGGAAGATCCAAATATTGTGATGAAGAGGGATTGAAGAAAGGTCCATGGACACATGAAGAAGACCAAAAACTATTGTCTTTTATTGATAAACATGGTTGTGGTAGCTGGAGGGGTTTGCCTGCTAAAGCTGGTAATTTTAATTATTATTCCTTTCGTCTCAATTTATGTAAAAATTGTTATATATTTATATAGATTTGAACGATTTATTTAAACGGTCCAACTAGTAAAAACGACAATAGAGCAAGATAGGATGAGTGTGAAGGTGATTTAACCCCCTTACCGTTCTCTCCCTCGCTTCATTGTTATCCCTACTCGCGATCCAGGACTATTTATAGCTAGTGCTAGATTGCCTAGTTTTCTTTTTCGTGCAACGTTTTTCATATGTAATTATTGCAACTTAATTATAATAAATTGATATTCTCTTTCCATTTCAATTTATATGATACACTTTTTATAGGCCAGGTACGTGATGGTGAGACTTGAAGTCATGACCCTTAAACCTGAATCAAAAATCATGTTATTATATTATCTAAAAATTTAATTAGTTAGAAAATACATATTTATATAGGTGTGTACTATTATTCAACATTATCTAATCACTCCTTTTTGCTTCTATTTTTAGGTCTGCAAAGATGTGGAAAGAGTTGTAGGCTAAGATGGATAAACTATCTAAGACCTGATATTAAAAGAGGAAAATTTAGCTTACAAGAAGAAAGAACCATCATTCATCTTCATGCTCTTCTTGGAAATAGGTATACATACTGATATATATATACATACATATATATATATATATATATATACTTTTTTTATCCGTTCATTTTTGTTCGTACAATATTAATTTGGCATATTGAGCGGTCAATAAAATGATAGTTTTTACTATATTATTCTTTGAATATAATAAATTCAGTATTTTGAAAAATATATATAATTAATGAGTAATAAGAGTAAATTAGAATCGAAGTAATAAATTATTTTTTAATTTTTTAAATTCGACAAATAAAAATGAATATTAAGTTTTAGTATAATGAATAAGTAACGATAGAGTAAATAATAAATAAATGAAGTATAGTAATAAAAAGATGGCAAATGATGATAGAACTCATAAATAGTTAGTTACCTTTGTTTCTGCCACAATATTATTCTTTCCCAATCCCCTTAGTCACTGTTTTTTTTTTCTTTTTCAATATATGCAACAAATAGCCATAATGCTACTTATGATACTGTCTATGATTGATAGTGCCTTATTATAGCAGTGTCCACATTCAATTAAAGTCACCATTTAATTGAATTGATTTGATTTAAGGATCCAAGACTAGTGATTTAATATTACCACAATAATTTCATTTTTTTGTGTAATAATGTCTATCAATGATTATTGCGATAATGAATTGATTAGGTTTTTATTTATATCAGATGGTCAGCAATAGCAACTTACTTACCAAGCAGAACAGACAATGAGATAAAGAACTATTGGAATTCGCGTTTGAAGAAGAGGTTAACCAAAATGGGAATCGATCCAATGACACACAAACCAAGTGATGCGGGCTCATCAAAATATGTTGCAAACCTTAGTCACATGGCTGAATGGGAAAGTGCAAGACTAGAAGCAGAAGCTAGGCTTGTTCGAAAATCGAAAATCCTCTTCAATAACAACAACAATACTCACAATTACAACATTAACCCTAGTACCATTTCACAACAATTACCTCATTATTATCAACAACTCCCTTGTCTAGACATATTGAAAGCATGGCAAATGACTAGCACAAAATTACCAACAATAAATGACATTAGTCATGCCATTCTACGTAGTAATTTGAAGAACAAGAAACTCGATTCATCGATACAATCATCAACGTTAAATTCTTCAGAGAATATTTTCGCGAAAGATGCACCAACTACTACGAAATTTGATGTTGATGATGATCAAAATCTTCATAATTTATCTACAATCAACTCATGTTTTGAAGATGATCAACTACTCCAAACAGAACTTCCAAGTTTCATGCAGGAGTTTTCAGGGGTATTTCCGGAATATACACAAAATTCAACAAATGGATTACAAGTGGATAATATTATGGGAAGCTTCTATGGAGATTTTGAAGATAACAAGTTAATTAATTGGAATAATTTCCCTAATTATTTAGTTAATTCACCTATTGGTTCTCCAGTATTTTAAGTTCTACTATATAGCTATAGAAAATTGTACTTCTAAGAGTTTGATTAGTTTTTTTTGTTTTATTACAAAGATTTTGTATCTCTAAATCCTTATTAGACTGAAATTTAGTTTATGAAATGATTGATTAAAATTAAAAATCATGTACCCTTATAATTTGTCTTTTTTCTTATATAGCGTAAACTATAAAGTATTTTACACGTCATTAAAACACCGAAATTAGCAATAAACTTTATCGTCAATCTACCGCTATTTTAGTTGCTTAACAAAAATTGTCACAATTTCGTAGTTAAGTAAAATTATTAATGAATTTTTTAAATCAAAGTTATTTTTTTTAAAGTAGTGACATGCTCTAAGTTATAAACTCAATATTCTTTTGTTTTCTTTTCTACTATTATATTATATAAGAGTGAGTAGAAATAGTTGATATCAACATATATGTTAATTTTGTGTAGGGTAGTTTCGTGTTTGCATTAATTGTCTTGTTCTCATAACTAACCCACGTGGTTTTTCTTGACAACGCATTGTTATAAGTGGGTTTCATTTCACTTCCCACCATCCTTCGTCTTTTGACAATAAAATTTTATCACGAGATTACGGTGCATTGGCGGGAGTGCTTCATCTTTAATCAGAGGTTTTGAGTATCGAGAAAATTTTATTAAAAGTGTTACCTTAAGTAGGTTCTGTAGTACGCGATTCAAGTTTAATCAAAATTTCAATATGAACTTCGAACGCCAGATAGAAATAAAAAACAAATAATTTTTAAGCACTCATCTGGAATTTTGAGTTCGAGTTTTGAGTATGGAAAAAATTTTATTAGAAGTGCCACCTCAAATAGGTCCTGCAGTATGCGATTTAAGTTTAATCAAAATTTCAATATGAAATTCGAACGCCACATTAAAATAAATAAATAAATAATTTTCAAGCACTCATCTTTGCTCTTCTCAAAGAGTTCCTTAATTTTCATTATTTCTAATTTATTGATTTGTTAGTTTTTACTCACTTTCAATTTCCTTTTTTCATTCATCTTTTCTGCTACAAGTGAAGAGGGAAAAGGAGATATGAGAGTTTGTTTTTCTTTAAAAAATGGTGTAATTGAGGCTCTGAATTAAATCTCGGAGAAATATTTATTACAACAAAAATAATTGTTTACCAGTTTGTTTTTCTTTAAAAAATGGTGTAATTGAGGCTCTGAATTAAATCTCGGAGAAATATTTATTACAACAAAAATAATTGTTTACCAATAATAAAGAGACATATTAATAAAGAGAACTAAAATATTTAATAATATTAATTAAGTGTTATTAAATTCAATATCGCTAAAAATTTTAGCGACATATACAAAAAGTTAATTATCATTAAATATTTAATAATAATTAAGCTATTATCATTAGTTAATTATCAATGAATATCATTTTTAATGTAGTGATAATTTATATCTTCTTTTCTTTTTTTTAGATATTTATAAGGAAAGTAGATAGATTCCATGTTTTATTTAATAATCTTCTGATTATTATTTCATTCAATACGAAATATCATATTTGTTGATATGAATATTATTTCATCTAATACGAAGTATGACATCTGTTAAAATAAATTTTGCGATATATATAGAAAATATTGAACCCGTATTTGTACAGACTAATTTCATTTAAGTGTATATATATATATATATATAGAGTAAGGTCAGAGAGAGGAGACATATTGAAATACAATCAATATTATATGGTCCTGGGAGGCCCAAAAAAAATAAAAAAAAATGCACCATCCATGTTTTTTGCAATTTATTAACTAATTAACTCCATGTAGCTACTACTCTTTTTTGCTTTATAACATTTCGTTTTCTGATATAGGTCAAAATAAAGTTAGGTAAATGAAATTATTGCTAAGGTGTTTGAAGGAGTAATCAAGTAATCGACCAATGAGGAAGTAGTAAATACGCATTCATGATATGGAATCGTCTTATTAAAAAACAGTATATATAGCCTGAAATATAAGAATTTTCGGTTTGAATTTATATTTAGTTGAATACATATACAAATATCCGACTAAAAATTAATGAACTATTTCGATCTCTTTATCCTATATTATACGTACAAATTATCCTCATTATTGTTTTTTTTTTTTGTCGTGAACCCCATTTGAATATATATCGAAAAAAGTAAATTTTTGAATGATTCACTTCATCATATTCATATAATATATACATGTGTGTGCATATATTTTGATATATAATATATAAAAGATATTCATATGATATCAGTTATAAATTTGTATATATTAAATGCATTCATACTTTCTTTAATATATTTATTATTTTAATATTAGCATATAGTTATATATGCTTTTTTTGTATTGATACTCATTGGTACATTTTTTCACTTATAAGTGTGTATAAGTGAAGGAAAAATTATTTTTTTATTTTTTATAATGGACGAAATAAATATTATCATAATGTTCCAACTACTAATATCCAAAAAATGATGACCTAATATATGAAATAAAGTCACACTTGAATCTTGATGTCTAGATAATAAATTTAGACATTATTTCTAGTAGGCATGCATTAATCTATATATAACATTTCTCTTTTTTGCTATAAGTCCATCAAATAAAGTTAGGTAAATGATTTAATTGCTTAGAATACTATCCATTCGATTATATTTCTTTTTCAGCTTCTTAAATTATTAAGTGAACTCTTTCAAATCTCTTTCATAAGATATTACGTAATACCACACGTTATATCACATATGTATATCCTTTTCGTGTCAAAAGTTTTATTTAATAAAATAATTAGTATTCGTGTGAAAAATATTTTTTCTGAAGCAGACGGATCGGAGTTCTTTATTTCGTGAGTCTATTAGAAATATCCAGTCGATCATTATCCTTCTAAGTAATATTCATATAATTAAAATTTGTGGGGTTGGGGTGAGGGATACGAGGGTCAAAAGTGTGTTGTGGTCGGCAGGGGCGGAGCCATCCTAGATGAACCCCTTTCGACGGAAATATAACTATTTTTACATGGTAAAAATTATTGTTTATATATTTATAATAGATGTTGAAATCCCTTCAGTTAGTCAATGTGTTTAGTTCTTCAAAATTTTGAACCCCCTTATTAAAAATTCTAGATCCGTTACTGGTGATCGGATGTAAAGTTGGGTGAGGGTGGATAGGAGAAATACAACGAATATAAAGTATCTTTTTTTCTCATATTTATTTTTGTTATAACGATCATGAGTTTCTTTTTTTTTTTAATAACGATATAAGATGTTACTTATGCTACCTTTAATTCTTTCATCAAGTAAGTTGTTTTAATGTTTTTTATTAATTTTTTTTAAAAAAAAATAAGTAAATAAAATATTCTAACTTATAATTAAATATATGTGAATCTATTAGATCTCGATAAAATTTAAAGAATAAATGACGATACTAAAGTTTTAGCTTTCCCTATAATATATGTGGGGTCATTAAAATAAATAGCACGTTCATTTATAAGTCCATCTCATCTCTGTACTTGATGTAACGGGAATGCAAATATTTATAGAGTTTAACTGCTATTCACCGACGGTGGACAAAAAATTACACGGGCATATTATTTTTGGAAATATTTAATTTTTTTAATTAATATATTTTAATATTATTAATATTAAAATAAAAATAATAACATAGTGTTATATGGTAACTTGAATTATAAATTAATTGTACAAATTTAATTAGGATTCTTATTTGTCTTACCAAAAATAAAAAATACATAATTTCTTGTGTTTTCTTAGTTGGATTAACGTTTTTCTTTTTCTACAAAAACCATTGAAGCAACCAACTATCCACCATTGAAGCAATTTGAAACAATTATCATGGTAGCGTTTTCCTCGTATATCTTTTTTTACATAACTTATTAAGTCTTTTTCGCAACATGAATAAACGTTTCAAAGAAATATTCTTGTTTTAATGTATGAAGAAATTTATGTTTTGTAGTGATGAAGATATTTAAAGAATTCGTTTAAGAACTTTTTAGCAAATTGAAGAAGTTCAATACATTAGCCATGAAAAATATTTAAAATTTTAAAGCTAACTTACCCTATCAGTCTAATATCTAATAATTGTGTATTACAGGAAACTTTTGAAATCTCTAATTTAGAAGAGCAAAATGCAGAAGGAATTGAAGATTCCTTGAAGGATATAGAAAGCAACATGAATGCAGTTGTATCTTTTGTTCCTCAACTAGGTGAGCAAGAATTAAGAGAGCCTTACATCGGTATGGAATTTCAATCACTTGATACTGGATTTAAATTTTATCTTGATTATGCTCATCGTAATGGTTTTAGTGTGCGCAAAAATTGAATTAGTAGATCAAGAAAAGATAAATTCATTATTGGTCAAGAGTTTGTTTGTTCAAAAGAAGGATTTCGTTTAAAAAAATGTAACCAAGCATGCAATTGTGATTAAATCATGGGCCGTATTTAATAGTGTTTGATTTTGTTTGCTTACTCTTATAAGTTTGAATATGTTGATTTTGTTGCACTTTATGTTTCTGGAATAGTTTCATATTAATATTTTGCTAGCATTGCTTCAATGGCAACAAGTACCGGTTCTTATAAAAAAAAAAAATATGTTGGCAATGATTTTCTTTGAAGGATTGAAGTGCTTTCCAATAAGAAAACACAAGAAATTATGTATTTTTTATTTTTGGTAAGACAAATAAGAATCCTAATTAAATTTGTACAATTAATTTATAATTCAAGTTACCATATAACACTCTGTTATTATTTTTATTTTAATATTAATAATATTAAAATATATTAATTAAAAAAATTAAATATTTTCAAAAATAATATGCCCGTGTAATCTTTTGTCCACCGTCGGTGGATAGTAGTTAAACTCATATTTATATATGACGTAATACAAAATCAATTTTTTAAAATTTGTCTTTCAATTTTTTTAAAAAAATATTATATATGTACATGCATATTCTACGTGTTAACTTATCTATACCTATTAGATAAATAAGAATACGAAAAAAGTTTTAAAATTTGGATTAAAAGTGAATAACAGAGACATTTTAGTAGTAGTTGGGATGTTTTATTGTAAT